ATTTTTTTTTCCCAAATATATATATATATAATTTTAATTTCCTTTCCTAAATTTATATTTTTTATTTATTAATTTATTATTCTATTTAATTTATTTTTATTTTTTTCAAATATTTTTTTAATTCTATTTTTTTAAAAACAATATTAATTATTTATATTTAATATTAATCCATACATATATTTTTTAATTTTATTATTATATAATAATTTTATTCTTAATTTTAAAAATTATTTAAAATAAATAAATATTTAAATTTATTTTAAATTTCATTATTATAAAGAAAAAATATATATAATTAATTTAATATAATCGAAATCGCTTCGGAATCGTAAAATCGAATCGATCAAAATCGAAATAAATTAAAATGGTTGAATGAATTCAGCCACAACTTAGCTAAATATATATCAAGAATTGACCAAAATCGGTTTTCATATCTATACATTTTATCATATTCAATATAAATACTTAGTTTAATATTTTAAATTATTTCCTAATTTTTTCCCAGGGTCTGGTCATGGGCAGGAGCTGGACCCGCGGGGCGGCGGCCATGAATTTCCATGCACATGCACATAGGCCATCAACGGGAGTGCTGTCGCTGAACCTTAGCAATGGTGTGGCGCACTTTAGCAATACATGTTTGATATATATATTCGCGCATGTGTTTGCTTGACGTCCCGCAATGCGCTGGGGGATCAGAATGTCTCCAGGCCGTAGGGGACACCAGAATCGGATGGGAAACCATCTAGTGAACCAGTTCAAATCGGTTTCTTTGGGAAAATGTGAATCAGATTTTGACACATACATAATTCAGAGAGTATCACCTGCTCAAAAGGTTGAAACGATGGGGGTTTTGATTGGGACCTATCTTATACTGGTGCAGTCCTATGAGGCATGTCACTGTACCAAATCAGTCATTTAGTTAATTATTATTTATCTACCATCACTCCCAATATACCCCCTCCTATCTGAGCATCAGGGGCATCCATCGGTGCCTGCAACAGTATCAAACCAAGCTTTCAAGTTTTTTTTAAAAAATATTTTGATATTGGTGGACCAGTGAATTCCCCATAGTTCCCGAAGATTTGACTTCGTCAAAGATTGTTGTTTGGATCCAGTGTCCGGACTGCCTTGGAGGCATTCCAAGAGGGCAAACGCATCTCCGAAAACCGCGTTGCACACATCAGTTGCAGTAGGATAAGTTTGGTTTTGAGAGATCCCAGCAAAGCATGGCTCAATCCAAGTACTTTCGACAATGGGTTTTGTTTGATCTGCTTAGTCCTATTCAATGTGCAAACTGCTGTACTTCTGAGTGCTTATGACTCATATGACCCCCTTATTATTTGTAGCTCGTAAAGGGTGGATCACTGTAATGTAAATTGTATATCCAAGTACCTTCTGAGGATTTGTGTAATATCTCTTGGGGGTCGGGTTAAGAGACAAATGTCTTTGGACTTACAGCTGAGCAGGTGTAAATGGAAATTGGTCAAACCCGCTGACAAACAGCAACGACTTGTAAAAACCTGCAAAACACTTTTTTCACCACTGGGATTCTATCTTTTAAGGCCCACTGCAGGGCTCTTCTAGTAATTTCTATGCATTTCTGTCATTATTTTGTTGCTGCGGTGTCAGGATACCTACCCTCCAACTCATTTTCAAGGTATTGCAAAGAAAATTTAAAAGTGTTTGTCCAATATATGTTTGTCAAAATATGTTGAAACATGAGATTTCTATCTAGAAATGTTGTCCACAATCAGTTTAAAAACCTTCAGTGGTTCATTTTCCAGGTGTGGCTGTGAAATTTTGAAAGATTTGAATGCGATTTAAGGGACATAGATGGCGCATCCCAAAACATCCGGCGTGTGAATGGGATTTAAGGGACATAGATGGCGCAACTCATTTTCCAGGTATTGCAATGAAATTTTAAAAGTGTTTTTCCAATATATGTTTGTCAAAATATGTTGAAACATGAGATGTACATACAAAAATTCTGTCCACAATCGGTTTTGAAACCTTCAGTGGTTCATTTAAAAGGCGTGGCACTGAATTTTTGAAAGATTTGAATGCGATTTAAGGGACATAGATGGCGCAATTCATTTTTGAATCCATCGAAAAAAGCTTCTGGCGTTTGAATGGGATTTAAGGGACATAGATGGCGCAACTCATTTTCAAGGTATTGCAATGAAATTTTAAAAAGTGTTTTTCCAATATATGTTTGTCAAAATATGTTGAAACATGAGATTTCTATCCATAAATTCTGTCCACAATCAGTTTTAAAACCTTCAGTGGTTCATTTTTAAGGCGTGGCATTGAAATTTTGAAAGACTTGAGTGCGATTTAAGGGACATAGATGGCGCAATTCATTTTTGAACCCATCGAAAAAAAAGATTCAGGCGTTTGAATGGGATTTAAGGGACATAGATGGCGCAACTCATTTTATACAATACAATTTTGTGCAAATCTACCGTATAAACAAGCAATATTGATAGGACATGTAGTAAACTTAGTTAACAATACCCTTATTTCCATGCACTGGAGTGGCAGTTGCGCCATCTACCTTTTCATTTTAAAGTGGGGCGAATTTTTCTTCAATTGGCGGACCTCGTTTTATGTTCCAGCTAAAATAGCGCCGTTTTCTTTCTCAACCCGCGGTGCCATCTTATGGGTATTTTGGTTTTTGAGTTGAGCCATCTACTTTGACATAAGTGTATTCCTCCATTCCCAGCAAAACTCGCACAGTACTCGGTGAAAGGTGTTCTCATTGTGACATTTTCTTTGAACACATAGACTAGAGTACTCCAATAGAGCAACCGACTATTCAACATTCTTCAACCATCGAGAAAGGTGATATTTCGCACCCCCAAAAAAAAATTGGAGATTTGTCACGACCCTCCCTTGGGTACCTTGACCACCTTGACCCAGCATGCTGTCAGTGGCACGGGTACTGGAGCCCCAACGGCCCCAACGGCCACCATGGCCACTGCCACCCTCGCTATAGCTTCCGCGACCTCTGCCAGTGCATTCAGTGGACCAGAGAACCGTCACACGAATTCATAGGATAATTATCTTTGGTATCGTTGGTTTCCATAAAGAAACGCTGCGCGCCCAACCTGAAAAAATAAACTATTTCACCTCCATTCACCTCCTCTGGTTCATTCCATCTTCCAGTCACACTGGTGCAAAAAACTACTCTATATATAAAGTCTGTACCGCCAACCATCTGCAAGCCCCATGACGGTAAGGTCTCCATCTGCTTGCAGAAAACGCCCCTCCCTATCAGGCCTTGATTTCGTGCCAGGGTCACCTGACATGGTTGGAAAGATGGTGGATATCAATGGATGTAAATAAATAAATAAATATATATATATAAATAAATATATATATATATAAATATATATATATATCTATTGTATTCATTTGTGTTTCTTTCTTTATTTATTCATTGTTAAATATATAAATAAATACATAAATAAATATATATATATAAATATATAAATATGCACAGCGGGCTCAATGTATATATATATATACATATTGTCGATGCCAGCTAATGCATGCATGTTTGTTTGCATGTTGCAAGCATTTTCATCCCCTTCTCACCCGTCGCCGGGCTCATAAGGGCGCCCTTGGGACGCAGAGGCTACTCGGCGGTGTAACCGCATGGGAGTTGAAGGAAAAGGAACAGTTCGAGCCCTACTGCAACTTAGCGTGTGCTTGGGGAAAGGTCTGGTTGAGTTTGGGTGGAACCTCCTGTTTGTCCCCTACTACCAGATCGATATATTTATTTATATATATATATAATTATATATATCGCGGTGTAAAGTGAAACATTTCAACATATGCAGCACAAAAAATCGAACACGAGGAAAGACTTCAAGAAGAGACTTCAAAAAAAAGCACGGTTATATAGAAGAGAAACACACTAGGTTTGTTTCATAGGACTCTATTCGTATGCTCCTTGGCGTGTTTTTCAAAAAGCGCTCCCAATCCATCTGTCACTCTTCACGGAAGCCTCACAATCCTGTGGAATCATCTCCACCATTCAATGGCGTTTGCATTCCAAAATCAAAAGTCATTTCTTGACTTTTTGATCATTATTATTGGTTGTCTCAGGGTGTTGTAGCTATGGGGATTTGAAAATTGGAATGAATTAAGGGTTAATCCCAAGCTCATCCAAGCTCCGTCTCTGTGCCTTTCGAACATCTATATATCCGCAGCGTAAGCTTTATTGCTCCAAAAATCCATCAATCCATCAAACTCCCGATTTCCATTGCTAAAGAAGCGTTACTCTGAAGACAGACCCCAACAAAAATCCAATCTTTTCATATCTCTTCCAACTTCGTTCCGTCCTGACTCGCAGCCCTGCTTCGGGAAGGCGGTTGGATGATCCATATATATATACATATATATATCCATATTTTTTTGGGTGACATTAGGATATATTCATTGGATATCCATCTTTGGATGATCAATATTTTGGAAGGTTTATTGATCAGGTGGATTTTTGGATCACATTTAGACTATTTATGGAAAATGAACGGGATATCTTAAATTCAATTAGTGGGATATTTGATGATATGTGAAATTAAGATTTTGGGATATTGGTTGAAGGGAAAATCTTAACCGGATCATGGTTTTCCCCACGATCCTATTGGTGTTTCTGGCTGAAATTGTTCCTTAAACTAATCCAATGATCCTTAGGTGGTGGATTTTGGATGATCACTATTAAGAATTCATGGAATATATTCATGGGATACTTGATATTAAGATTGATGTGATATCAATGAGATATTTTAAAACTGAACAATGCCATCCCCAGCCCGTAGAATTCCTCCAAAACAAGCTGTACAAATTTCTTGTCTAATTCCAAGTAGTATGGGCAAGAAGTGCTTAACCCCAAAAAGAATCAGTCTGTGAGACCCGAAAGACGACGGTAGGAGGAGCAAGAAAAGCGAAAATTGTGTGGATCATTTCACTGTTTCACCGTTCCATAGCAGTGTTGACATGCGAAAATATCAATCCCCAGCTCTTTTTTTCACCCCATCTTGTGGTCCCAAATATATGTAAATCCCCTACAAGTACTACTGTAACCATGGTTTCTGGGTGGTTTTTATTCGGGGAAGGGAATACAAATTATTGATAGCCGAAATTGAGCAAGAGTGCGATTGATTTTTTGACTTGATAGGGCCTATCTAGTTGTATAATCCTTTGCCAATTGTTTTTGGATTGATTTTTTTGGGAAAATTAATCATTAAAAAAACTAGTGGGGGTGTTCATTCAACTTTATCTTTCAGGTCACAAATGAATTTTGCTAAGAGGATTCGACCACCCCCCATTTCGGGAACACGCCGCAGCAATAGATGGTTAGTAAGGCCTTCTTAGTGGTTGTTGGCGGTTGGTAAAGCCTGAATAAACGCAGTAAAAACCCAACTAGTGATTGACAGTTAATCCTGTATTTATCAGCTCATAATTTTGGCTTTCTTGGGAACGTGTTTCCAATACTACAAAAGGAACCGTGTTGAGGTACAACATGGTACAGCAAACTCATGGGGGGTCAAACAACGGATGGATTGAGTCTCCCAACAAATGTGATCAGTTGATGGAAGAATCCACTGCGTGAAACTATGGGCTTTGCCTTCAGCAACCTGAAAAATATAGGAAAATTGTTGAGTAGCACAAAAATTCACTAAGACATCCTTAGGTTTAAGGAGTTAAGTATTACATATTGACTTTTCTTCATGTTGAAATAACAAGCAGACAGGTACACAAAAAAATATCCTTGAACATGGGTGTGAAAAAAAAACTAGCGCAAACCTAGCGGGTTTGCTAGCGCTGCCTTGCAGAATTGGTGAATTTAGTTGCGTGCCGCCTCATAACGAAGAGGAAAAACAACTAGGTCCACACTAATTATCAACAATAACAACTAGTACAAAACTTCTGCCAACTATTTTTGGCAAATGGTCATATATATATATTTATTTATTAATATATTATATACATGTCTACATATACATATACATAGCAACACCATAGAGAGAGAGAGTAGAATCTGGATAGTGGTAGCAACGATGAGCAGGATGGTGATGATGATGATGATGGTGATGATGAGTTGATGATTTGATGATTTGATGATATGATTTGGTGGTTTGATGGTTTGATGATGATTGCCTGGCTGAACCCAATTACTATAGTTGATAGACATCAGATGTGATAGCAAAATGATCATAGCATGTCTTAGGGAATGTAGGCCGAACAGAAGTTGAATGTACTCAAGTGTGCGTTTGTGTGTATGTGTATATATATAATATATATGTACCGTACATACATACATACATACATAGATACCTACCATTACATACATACCATAACATAACATAACATACCATAACATAACATAACATTACATTACATTACATTACACATACATCACATAACATTACATACATACATACATAACATAACATAACATACATACATAACATAACACAACATTACATTACATTACATTACACATACATCACATAACATTACATACATACATACATAACATAACATAACATACATACATACATAACATAACACAACATAACATAACATTACATTACATAACATTACATACATACATACATTACATTACATTACATTACATTACATTACATTACATTACATTACATTACATTACACACATACATTTATACGTATGTATATTACGCACATATCAATGTATATCAAGACAAATATAGATATGGGAACAAGCAGCAATAGGGTTCCAAAGGGTTACCAACAGAAATCGGAAAAAAGGTAGTAGATATAGCGAACAATTCCACTTCATAGATTAGATCATGATGGTAACTGGGGCACACAGCCCGATGAAAACTGGTAAATGATGGGATAATACAAGCTTTATGATCCTGGCACCAAGGCAACTTCTGTAAAACTATATTACAATAAAAACAGTAAAACACGGCGGAAAAAAAACTGGGTCCAGATTGATTGATTATCACCATCACCATCACCGTCATCATCATCATCATCACCATCATCATCGCCATCATCATCACCATCATAATCACCAGCATCATCACCATCATCATCATCATCGTCGTCATCATCATCATCACCATCTTCATCACCATCATAATCACCAGCATCATCACCAGCATCATCACCATCATCATCACCATCATCGTCACCATCATCACCATCATCATCACCATCATCATCACCATCTTCATCACCATCATAATCACCAGCATCATCACCAGCATCATCACCAGCATCATCACCATCATCACCATCTTCATCACCATCATCATCACCAGCATCATCACCAGCATCATCACCATCATCGTCCTCATCATCATCATCATCACCATCATCATCACCATCATCTTCACCATCATCTTCACCATCACCATCACCATCATCATCATCATCATGCAGGAGGCGAAGGCAGCGGAGGACTTTCACACTCCAAGTTGCATTCCTCCCTACCGGCCTCGCAAGGTTTGGCAGCGCCTGTGAGCTTCAAAATCTTGTGTGCGGCTTCTGTCGCGCGCTTTGCCTTCACATCATCCGTTGGGTTGGTATTCTCAGACGTGAATGACACCAACCCCCATGAAATACATTGAAATACCATCAAAATCTCATACCACCCCAGAATTTCATTACGTACGGTGAAGCAACAGGCACATCAGGGGTTCGGCCATATATCCCTTCAACTTCTACTCCCTGCAAGTTTAACAACAGCATCTAAGTGGACCATACATGGCCTTCCTTTTGTTAACTTCATAATCCAAGGAAATAAGGCAAGTATAGAAATCACGAAAGTTAACATGTATTTTAAGATACTTTATGATACTTTACGATACTTTACGATACTTTATGATACTTTATGTACAATATTCCGGTATCCACACATATCCACACGTTTGCGAAGCTCCTCTACTTATAACCATCAAGCAACCCCTTTTTGAGACCAACCTCCAAAAGACTCCAGCCTCTGTGGCCGTGGAATAGGTGATCAAGGCCCACTGCGTACCTGCAAAGAGAAGGCTTTGCCACGTACTAGTACCACTATATATAGATCCAAAGTCAGAAAAACAACTTAAGATCTGTATGTACTCATCACATCGCCATCGACATGTATGGGAACTATCTCACATACATACATATACATATCATATACATATCATGTACATATCATATACATATATATATATATATCTTTTAAGACTGCATTATTTAAATTTACAATATTATATATATATTGCATTATGACATTGTGTTATCAAGCCCCACCCACAAGTAGGCAAGTTGAAGAATAGGATACTATCGGATGCTGTCGGATAGAATCCTTTGCCAACACAGACGCCTGAATCGGAAATGATGGGAAAATCCAACCGACAAGGCCTGTCTCACAACCGTGCCTCAAATACACGTGGGTGATATCTATCTAATCAGCCTATCTCTCTATCTAATCAACCTATCTATCTATCTAATCAACCTATCTATCTATCTATCTATCTATATCTCTATCAATTTATCTATCTATTTATTTATCTAAATCTAAATCTAAATCTAAACCTAAATCTAAATCTATCTATCTACCTAATCAACCTATCTACCTATCTACCTACCTATCTATCTACCTATCGATCTATCTATCTATCTATCTAATAAACTGATACACTGTACATATGTTTTCTGGGAAACCCTTGGTTTTCCCTGTCTTTGTGTTTTTTTTGCTGGAGGGTAACATCAGCAATACCTTTTTGCATTGGTATCAAGCCATTTTAGTATTTCCAATAGTGGGCAAAAGGCAACCCTGTACAACATAAGTACACAACTACGAGTATGTAGGACTAAAGGATTATATAGTCCTATACTGGCCATCGGTAGCCACTGAGATAGTCGATTCCCCAATTAAGTATTCCTAAATGAAAAACGCCTCCAGCAACTACGCGCACCAATATATTATAATTATGATAAATCCATGGGGAACTGAAACCTAGGGATGATCTACTTTCATGATGGATTTTCCGTCCGTAGGTTTTTTTCCAAACTGAGGAGAAACTTCTAGTGGGATAGAGAATAAGAGCGAGCACCTATCTACTTCCAAGAAAACTAAAAAAAAAGCATGGCAAAAAAAACATCCATAAGTACCCTCAAATTGAGCACAATATCCTCATGAAACACCTGCCAGACAATCCAGGAAATTTGCTGAAATGTAAATGTAATGTAAATGTATGTAATGTAATGTAGTGTAAGTAATGTAATTTAATTTAATGTAAATGTATGTTATGCATGTAATTTATGTAATGTACGTAATCAAGAAAGATTGATGGTAGATATATGTGCAGTGAGGACATGGTTCTTTTTCAAAACACGCCACAAGAAACATCAGAAGTTTCACGGCTGCAACCCAACCATATGAGGATATAATTGGGATATCATGAGCATGGGCTGCTGATGGGCTGCTGTACAAGAAACAAGGTTGTGCCCCAATTCCTTAGCCAAGTTGGCTGAAAGAGCCTCAATATGAAACAACCGTTGGCCGTTGGGTTTGTGGTAGGTGCGGCTTTGAAGCTAGAGTTTCTTTGGGTCATGAAGGAACTTAGCTATAGATGCGGGGCACCGCCTTGTACCGAACATGTGCTGACTTTACGGGTCATCCCAAGCTGCCAAGATCACCAAGCTGCCATCCCAAGCTGCCAAGATCACCACGCTGGACCCGATGAAATATCATACCAGCGGCCCTGGTCCAAAACCCATATCCCTCCATTTGGTGGCAATCAATTTGGGAAAGATAGAACACACAAAGTGAATGAAACCACCAGCTCAACATTTTGGCCGCAATGCCAGGAGAACCCCTACCCCAAACCGGCGCCTCCTGGGCCATGGGCGCCATGGACTTGTCCCCAGGAAGGGCGTCCAAGGCCATCATTCACAGGACAAAGCACGCCAACAAAGCAAGCCGCATGGCCTCACTTTGCATGGCGAAACAAGCCAGTATGTAATGCATGTTTTGTATGTAATGTATGTAATGTACCAAAGCCTCCCCGAGTTACGCACGGGTGTATCAGAAATGGGGTGTGCCGGTGCTATAGTGTGTGTGTGTATATATATATAAACAAGTATAAATATAAATATCAATATCAATATATATATATATATTATATATATCATAGTAATAGTATGGCCCCTGGGGGTACTCGTGAAACTATTGAGCTTCCCACCAAGTGCCGGCCCAGCGATCTGGCAGAAGCCCCTGCGAGATGGCAGCTACAGCACCATGGATAAACCATTGAAAACATGGAAGCTGAACCAAACAATGGAAAATCGATGAATGCCATAGAAAATTGAAGAAAAACGTTGCAAAATCGAGGAAGGCCACGGAAAATTGAAGCACAACCGCGGAAAAAAAGATGAACCGGATAGAAAACCGAAGAAAACAGGTGGACAAATTGATGAACGCCATGGAAAATTGAAGCAAAACCATGGAAAAACTGAGGAAAACCATAGAAAATGGTTAGGGGAACAATGAGTTTGGCCGGAATACTTTTTTTGATTGTAATGTCTTTTTTTATTGCTGATGTTTTTTTGATTGTACTAATATGTTTTTTTTGATACGCTTGCCTCTCGATCTCCCAAGAGCTTATAGGCCAGCACTAAGTTCTCCAGCTGCTCCTGCAACCGACAGTTTCCGCACTACACTGGAAAAACTCATTCAAATTCAGATTCCTCTAATCTGACCCTGCCCCGAATGGCTGTTTCAACTTCTGCCTTATCAAGCATTGAGATCCAAAGTCTTATGGTGTCAGATGCTTGCAACAGTCTTACTCGCAGGATACTGATCTTGCCCAAAGGAACTGCAGAGGTTTACTTTTGTTTCGCCAGCCCATACTCCCCATTATCCTCTGACCCCAGCTGTCAACTCCTCAATACTAACTGCTGGTTTTCTGTCTGTCCGTTTTTGCACACAGATGTTCGAGAAGAACGATGTTTTAAAGAAGAACGGTTGTTCAACCAGAATGCGCAAAGTTATTTCTAACCCCCCTAAAATGCAACCCTACCCATTGCTCTCGTGAGAACGATTGCCTCTCGTGAGAACGATCTTTGATCGAAATGTGCGAGAGAACGGTGCCATGTCACTTCACAGGGGGGAGCGTGATCATTGTTATTTTGTTTTGTGCCAAACATATCCTCAAACATGGCCCAGGAGAACGATGAGTGACTTAACATGCATTTTACCAGTGAGAATGTGTAAACACAGCTTAGGATTCCTGCAATTTGGAAGGGGGGATCTCAGCCTCATTGCTCATCAGGCGCTCCGCGAGCGCCATGATGCCTCAGATCCGAAAACACAACGAACTGGTCATAGACAAATTTGAGGCCTTGAGGAAATGGCCTTGAGGAAATGCAACATTTTGAATATTTTTTTTAACCTCAAAACCACTCAAAAGGCTTCAAACATGCTCACACAGCACTCCAACACGACTGTTTACCCCAAAAATATATTCAGATTGACTCTCGGACACCTCATTTAATATCAAATCCAAGATTTTGAACTCGACGTTTCCTAGCGGCCATTTGGTCACCATCCCCAATTTGTGTATGAACTGGGTTTTCCTGCTTTTGTCGAGGCCCTGGCTGAACCAACGCGGTCTTCTGAACAAAGAGATGTATTTTTCCACAACAAGAATGCGAACCAACGGAAAGAGAAATTCGGTTATCTTGCCGGGAAGATTTGACCAACAGAAATCGGGAATTGGCAAGAGATGGGCTTTTTTGTATCCTACCTGGCTTTGTCTCAAAATGGTATGGGTAGATGTATCAATGTATCATTGGAGGTTGGCCCAGAAACCAAAGCACCAACCTTAAACAAGCAGCTATTTGGGGGAGTTTGTGTCAGATACTTGTGGAATTTGGATGTGAGTTTGGTGTGTTTTTTCCGCAGGATGAGTTCTTCTCCAAATGTTTTTGAAGGAGAATGATTCGCATTCATGTCCTTTTCATGTGTGATTTCTGCATTCATTTCAGGTCCTTTTCGTGTCCCTTTTGTTTCTAAGATTTTGCTGATATGTTGGGCGCATTTTCCTTGCAAGTTCCCTTGCTCTCTTGATTTTCCGTTCATTTCTTTTATCTTCCTTTTATTTCCTGTCATTGTTCTTTGATGTTCCTGTCAAGTTGTTTACGCCCATGACCGTCCATGTCATGTCATTTTACTTTATCACCTATCACTTTCCTTTCTTTTGCTGTCATTTCCATGTCATGTTCCTTTCATTTCCTCTCATAGTGCTTTCATCACTTCATTCCTTTAATTCCTTTTCATTTTCCTCCCATGATCCTGTCATTGCCTTTCATTATCCTTTTGCGTTCTCCTTGCATTTTCCTTTCTTGTTTCTTTCTTTTTATCTATCATTTCCTTGCGTTTTTACTTTCATGCCGATTTTCATGACATTGATTTTCATTGCCGCTTTGGACTTGGACATCTATATATATATGTAACATGTATATGATTTTGTGGAAAGCACGTCCAAGAGAAATAATTTGAAAACAAATCTTGGGCATCCTCCGTCTGACGGAAAAGCGCCATAGAAATCATTGTGCTAAGCTACACCCCACATGCAGGCTGTTTGCAAGCTATATACTATATACTGCCTGTACGGTACCTCTATTGTAGACATATACTAGCCACCGTGAAAATTCCAAATGTTATGCTTACATGATGGCCTCGCGCCACCTATACACTACTACATGATACCTTGATACCAGGTTCACTACCTACATACCACCTGACCCATCCAACAGGTGCGCATATGTCCATGACCATGAACGGGGGTTGGGATTGTCACAGGGCTGTACCATACATGTGCAAATAGAATTCGATATATCAATGATGCCAATAGCTCGACAATATGCCTATATCATGGGATAGTAATGCTTATACACGGTTTGCAATGCCTAATAGGTTATATAAATATATATATACATATACTCCCGGATGTATATATATATATTTATGTATAGCCATCTCATAGGGATAATTGTATACAACAGCCATAGCCATAGCCATACAATATGATGGTTGTGCAATCATTGTGTTCTATGGGGAGAAATGTAACTGGTTTGCATGAATAATTTAGGATGAATAGCCACAATATGAATGGCGGTTGAAATTACTTGCTCATTTTCGTGCCATACGCAACTTAGGGTCGTCCCCTACCGGTAGTAAGGAGTTTGCTTTCACAGACTCTGAGGCGACTCATGCAAAACAGGGGTATCGGTATAGGGTTGTCCCCTATCGGTAGTGAAGGTTTTGCACAGCCTTAGCAAGGCTAAGGCGAAGCAAGACTTAAAAAAAAGTATGACAATACTTTTGTTGGTTACTCATCTTACTTGTGCTTAGTAGGGAATTTTCGGGAGTGATCCATAATCACTAGTAATCATCATCCCAGCAACCCCCAGCAACCCCCAGCAACCGATCCATCCCCTACGTTTAGCACCGGTAAGTCATGGTTCATGGTCACATGCGGCATGCCGTTGGAATAGATGGCATGATACCCACGGCCATTTTTGAAAGTTACATATCATAAGTCTCAAAAATCTTAGCCAAAAATCAGAAAAATAGCCATTAAGCATCGACTAGAAGTGCTTTTCAAGCCTGAACAAACCAGGTTGATATCACATTCCTCCAGTCAGACTATGGCAGCCCGAACATGATAGAATATCGTAAAATCCAAGTTAATTAAGTGGCAAGTAGTACGCGACCAAACTCTATCTATTTGTAGATGACATATTTAGAACAAAATGTTAGACCCATTTTGGAAAATATAATCCTATAAAATAGCGGCGAGTGACTAAACTCTATCTATTTTGGGGATTACGAAAAAAATATCTCTATTGGGACTATACATCAATGGTCATTTCAGGAACCTATATAAATTGGAAGTACCTACCATGTATAAGGCCTATTTTTCAGGCCTAAATTTCAGGGAATATTCCCACAAAATATGGTCAAAAATATGATCAAAAAAATGGTACTATACCAACGTACCTCCACTTTAGGATCCTGGAATTCCCATTGAATAATACTAACCATGAATTAAAACTATACTTACTAAACTAGACCACTATTAACATTTCTTAAACACCATAAACATGTCTGAGGTGGAATGAAAGGTGATGGGAGGGGGTGCGCCTCCGCCGGCGCGTAGTGGTCTGCGCCTGTCAGGGCCTGCAACTGGTCGAGATCGTGCAGGATCAGGGCGTGGTCATTGCCTCTGCAGGAGCTGACAAGAATCTTTTGGCTGACTGACTGCCTGAATAGCTGGCTGACTGACTGTCTCCATGACTGCATCACTGACTGGTTAGCTGAACTAAATTCACTGACCAACTGACTGACAACATGACTGATTAATTATCACTCACTGACTAACTCTTTGACTGACCGACTACCTGACGAAGTGACTGACTGGCTGGCTGGCTGACTGGCTGACTGACTGACTAACTGACTGACTGACTAAGTGACTGACTGACTCGCTTGCAGACTTGCAAAAATGCAGCTTTCTGGCGAGGCTTCCTTCAAGAATACATTTTGAATAAAAGCCACGCACCAGGTACTAGCCACTGCTTTGAGGTTTACTCATTTATTGTGGATCATACCAACTGAGGTCTGTCCCTAACATATCCTTCTTGTGGTGGGCTCTCTGCCATTCCTCGTTGTAGGGATAGGATTTGGTATCGACCTTCTCAAATTGTCCAATCTGGGTCCAAACGCTTGACATAAAGTCATGAAACCTCGCCTCTTTTAGACTGCAGGACTGGGCCCCGCAAAAGGTCAGTGCAAAGAAAACATGCAGAACCAGTTCTGTCACACGCATTCAAATTTGGTGGCTCACCAGAGTTGTAAATCTTCGCTCGAAATCAATCCAGTGATTTCAATATTTCTCCCATTGACTGAGGGCAGGACCATCTTGGAGGTCCGCCAGGTCAGCCTCACAAATTCTTGGATTTATCGTCTCCACCTACCATCCTACGGGGATGTTTAAATCCAGCCCAAACATGACATGTTCATACATGTTCCAACGCACAAATGCACGTGTTGCCATTCATTCAGCCTTGAAAAGACATGTCAAAGGACCGGGACAAATTCTGACTGACACGCCCTTTCTCTTGTTTACATGGGTATATGGTCGTCGACAGAATTTTGGAAATGGAAAAAAGGTTCGACATGGGCAGGTAAACAACTGCGGCGCGCCGGGGCAGTATTTTTCCATAATTCTGTTTTACTGACACCTCAAAAATCGGTAATACCTTGTATACCGAACCTTTTTGGAAGGGGCGTGACGTGCTGCAGTTAAATTTCCATATATATTTTTTTCCATGTGAGGTTGCTTCTTGGCATATGACCATTTCCATAATTATGTGTTTCCTGAAAGGGTGACAACTTTTCTATTGACATGTTTCCATAATTCTTTTGGCCATGGCTACAGTGCATGATTATGGCTACAGTAGCATCAGTGGGAGATCAAAATAGACATGTGGAGGAATAATTTCACATGTATCCTGATCCCAAAACTGAAAATGGATTTGTCCCAAAATCATGCAAATTTGCTGTAAACCAGGTGGTTTGGAGGATAAGGGTCCCAAAACTGAATCTGGATTTTGTCCCAAAATCATGCAAATACGCTGTAAAGGAGGTAGTTTGAAGGATCAGGATCCGATAAGTAAGATTTCCAAAATTAATTTTGCATCGTGGATTAAAGGCTTTTGTAGACATTTGTCTCACTTGTTTTTTCTTTTTTAGAGGATCAGGATCTGAAAATTGCTATTTCCAAAATTCTTTTTTTTGAAAGTCCGTAATGTCGCTAATCTTTTGTCTTGGTTTCGGTCCCCAACCTTTTCCGCTAACTGCGGCGCGCGAACCTTTTTTCATTTCCAAAATTGTGTCGACGACTGTACATGTATATAATTCCCCGCTTACTTGAACATCTCCCCACTCTTGTCGGAAATATATATATATATATACATGTGTGTGTAGATATCTATGTTTATATATATATATATATACATGTGTGTGTGTATGTATGTATGTATGTATGGATGCATGCATGCATGGATGGGTGGATGGGTGGATGGTGGATGGATGTCTGTATGTATGTATGTATGTATGGATGCATGTATGCATGGATGCATGTACGTATGGCTGTATGTATGTATGTATGTATGTATGTGTGTATGTAATGAATGTAATGTAATGTAATGTGATGTGATGTGATGTAATGTAATGTATGTATGTATTGTTTAGTGTATTTTTATGTATTTTACCCGAATGCGTAGCAAGGGTTCCCGTTTCACTCTGGGGGTCTGGGGGTTGAGGGTGTGTTCGCTCGATGTTGCGTTCACGAGCGCAACCGTCCGCAACCGTTCGCGCGATCCCCGTATGGCCGTGCCTATGGGAAGTTCTGCAGAGGTGGTCCTTTTTGGGGGTTGCAGACGTGTCGTTGCTTCGTTTCGCGTGGCAGGCGTGGCACTTCGTGACATTCAGACGTGTTCTGGAACGTGTCGAAAGTCGTTTGGCGTGGCAGGCGCAATACTTTTGTGACGTTTTCAGAAGATGTGTTGCAGTTTTCGTGGCAGGCGCAGCACTTGGACGTGTCCATCGTCATTTTTCGTGGCAGGCGCAGCACTTTAGACGTGTCGTGTTGCGTGTTTTTTGTAAATCGCATTGGCAGGGCTGCGTCAAGTGGCGACAAGGTGCAAATTCCGTGGCAGGCGTGGCATTTTGTGACATGTGCTGAAAATTGACGGAAGCCTCGCGCACGAAACATCGATTTTGAGGTTGCAAATTTTCCGGTTCTAAGGAAAACTCGTAGGAAAACGTCGATTTTGAAGCTGCAAAGTGTCAAAATTGGAGGAAGTCTCGTACGAAATGCTCGTTTTGGTGCTCCCACGTGTCTCGTCTCGCGTCTCTGGTTTGCCCGTGGCTTAGCCGTGTCTATGGGGGAAGCTGCAAAACTTGTCTTTTTGTCATGTTGCCAACTGTGAATATTGCCGGAAGTCTCGCACAAAATGCTGGTTTTTCTGCATCCACGTGTCTTGTCTCGAGTCGCTTGTTTTTCTGTGGCGTCGCCGTGTCTATGGGGGAAGCTGGAAAACCTGTCCTTTTCGAATGTTTCCAAGCAGGTTGTCATGTCGTTTTGCGTGGCAGGCGTGGCACTTTCCTCACTCCACACTCCACACTTTACACTCCTCACTTTACACTCCACACTCCAAACTCTACACACACACTCTACACTTTCCACTCCAGACTCCAGACTCCACACTCTACACTTTACGCTCCACACTCCACACTCCACACTTTACACTCCTCACTCCACACTCCACACTTTACACTCCACACTTTACACTCCTCACTTTACACTCCACACTTCACACGCAACACTCCACACTTTACACTCCACACTCCACACTTTACACTCCTCACTCCACACTTTACACTCCTCACTCCACACTTTACAATCCACGGTCCACACTCTACACACCACACTCCACACTTTACACTCCACACTCCACACTTTACACTCCTCCCTCCACACTTTACTCTCCTCACTCCACACTCCACACTTTAGACTCCACGCTCCACACTCTACACACCACACTCCACACTTCCACTCCAGACTCCACACTTTACACTCCACACTTTACACTCCACACTCTACACTTTACACTCCACACTTTACACTCCACACTCCACACTCTACACTTTACACTCTACACTATACACTCTACACTCCACACTCTACACTCCACACTTTACACTCCACACTCTACACACCACACTTTACACTCCACACTCCACACTCTACACACCACACTCTACACTTTCCACTCCTCACTCCACACTTTACACTCCTCACTTTACATTCCACACTCCTCACTCCACACTTTACACTCCTCACTCTACACTCCACACTCCACGCTCCACACTCTACACACCACACTCTACACTTTCCACTCCAGACTCCACACTTTACACTCTACACTCCACACTCTACACTTTACACTCCATACTCCACACTCTACACTTTACACTCCACACTCCACACTTTGCACTTTACACTCCTCACTCCACACTCTACACTTTACACTCCACACTCCACACTCTACACTCCACACTCTACACTTTACACTCCATACTCCGCACTCTACACTTTACACTCCACACTCTACACTTTACACACTCTACACTCCCCACTCCACACTTTACACTCCACACTCCTTACTTCACACTCCACACTCCGCACTCTACACTTTCCACTCCACACTGCCGACTGGTAACAAGGGGAACATGTACAAGACTGTTTAAATAAACTATTGCAGAAAAGTATTGTGCGTCACTGCATAACCATGTGTTTTGACATCTGTACCATTAACATGCGTGTGCGCATTCGGGTTCGTGGGCTTCATCTTGTTTTTATGTATGTATGTATGTATGTATGCATGTATGTATGTATGCATGCATGCATGCATGCATGTATGTATGTATGTGTGTGTAGATATCTATGTTATATATATATATATGTGTATGTATCTATGGAAGTATGTATGAATGTATGGATGCATGCATGCATGCATGGATGTCTATCTGTCTGTCTGTATGTATGTACGTATGTATGTATGCATGTATGTATGTACAGTATGTGTCTGTATGTATATATATATATTTATACATATGGAAGTTTCCTAAAATGGGGGGTACCCCCAAATCATCCAAGTCATGCATGACCATGACTTAGTATTGAAACTCTTGGTGACGACTGGGGATCCCCCATATCTTCAGCTGATTCCGAGGCACCGGTTCCTCTCGCGTCACCTGAGCGAAGAAGGAGCGACAGGGCCCTAGGAAACTCACATCGGTGAGCTTTTTGAACCAACTGAAGTCAACAAGAATTGAAACTTTCCACACATAGCTGGGTTTACAACTATTATATACTATTATAACTTGTAGTAATATACTTGGAATTGTGAAAATCGGGTGAACCAACCGAAAAAAAATATTAGTCAATAGAAATAATTTTCAGACAAAATCCACCTTACCAGTCCCAAGTCTTTATCGAAAATTGTCTGGTTCTGGAGAATCCCACCAAAAACAACTGAGGTGAATTCCGGCAGCACGAGGATATCCGTTTTAGGGTCATTGGCTCCCTCAAAAGGGTACTTTCAGCAACCAAGCATGAATTTGCGGCGAAAAACCACTCCGTTCAATACGGTTCCACTCACGGAGAGAATCACTTTCTGCAGGATCAAGCCCTTTCAGTTGGTAAATGGCTAGCAAGTGAGTCCTAATGTAGTTCATTTTTTATCCATGTATTCTGTATAGACATATGTAGGGGGGTTGTACCAGGCTATCCCACCCATTTACAAACCATCAATCCTAGCTTCCAGGATCATCAAGTACTAAATCTCCAATCAAATAACAATTAACCAGTTCAAGGCAGCTAGAAGGACGGGAAAAGAACAACGGCAATCAAGAAAAGGATGAATCTCATCATGGTTCATGCAAGGGGCTATGGGCCTGCTGAATAACAAAGAAATTGGCTAGGCTTCCCAGGTCAGTTCTCCCCGCAAGGCACGATTTCCTTCTGCAGTTTGGCCATGCTCGTCCTCAGTGCAGCCACCTGGCAGCGCGCAGGGAGAAGTCCAGTGGAACCGGTGGCAACCAGTAAAAACGGTGATATTTGATATTTGATCAATATCTACTGTAATCGTGGGATATTTGATGGGATATGGTCATGGTGTAATATGCATATATAACCATAGATATAGATATATAAAATATAGTACACATGAACAAATTGGCAAACAATATGATGTGGATGTATCTGAAAATGGTGGACTTAGCCCCAAAATTGCCATTGGGATAAGGAAAAGTATGATAAAGCAGTAGATTTAAGGGTACACCAGTCTCAGACAGACACATTTGCAGATCTCGAAACTTCTGTTCATGTCCTCTAATCTGGCAATGAATGAATTCTGACGGACTCAAAGTAACTTGTCTCACGACTGTCTATACCCCAAATTCCTTCAACAATCCATAGTTTATTCTCATTCTCCCATCAACAATTGCGCTGAAATTGCCTCGTCCATGAGGAAAGTAATGATCGACAATGCAATTTCTTGGCATTCCTCATTTGAGACAAGTCGATCTGCAGATCTTGTTGTCCATAAGCAAGGATTGAAGGGTTGATGCCGATTATTGGGCAAAACACTTCAATGCATTTTGCCGTCGTATGGATTTGAACTATTATTGAATTTTATAGGAAACTTGCAGTGCAGGGGAATTGAACAATTCAATAAATTATACTAACATGTTTCAAAATTTCTTTAACACAAACAAACTGAACTAACGGTACTTAAATTCAAGCAACAAATACTTGTCAATATTGCTGTCAGCATCTGCTAGCCATTCGACTCGGGCAATGGCGAAGAAACGACCCCGGACCGCCTGATCTCCCAGCGCAGCTTCGAGATGCGCCAGCCTCGACATGTGAAACAACGAGCCAAGGGGGAACGAGATGGAACGAGGCTTCATGAATTCCATCCGATTCCATCCCTTTAAGTCGAAGTCTTCAACAAAATCGCCCAGCACCAAATTTCCATTCCATCAAGCTAAATCCAAAGAACATCTAAGAACTTCCCCAACTTAAGCAACTACTCCTTTTCTCAGTCGCCACATTCCAATTTTCACTATCGAAATTAACAGCCGAAAAACACCGAAAAACCATCTTTATCTAGTATATATCCTGATATTTTGATAGGAAAGAGACTACACATCGTTACATCATGGTTAAATCCCCAATGACTAATGATCGACCAATATCGCTGTAAAATGGTGGTAACTGGCGAAATCATCAAACTGCTCACAAAAAACACAGGCTCTGGTTGATAACTCCATAATTTTTATAATCAACCATCAACCATCACTTGATCTATCATGTTCCCATATATAAAAAACCCCTATGATATCCCTTAAATCCATAGTGGTGAAAGCTTCGCAAATCATCAGTTATAAATTATAAATAGTTAGAACATGTTGAAACATGTTGAAACGCCCTGAAAAATCGGGTGAAATCCTGTGAAATCCATCTTTTTGTGAACCCCAAACCGAGCTGGCCCCGCCTGGCCACCAGCCCTTCCTCCCCGTTGCGACGCTCCAGGCTCGCTGCCAGCGCGCGACAGACTCCTCTGCCTCCTCTAAGGCCTCAATGGAAATCATTGGAAACTCGAAAAGAATCATGTTCAGACCTTGTCCAGAGGGCATGGCCAATAGTGGACCCAACATGGCAATAGTGGAAACTTTTTTTCCCAACTCCAATTTTTTCTCCAATACTAAAAGTCAATTAGCTCCATTCACTTTTAGTATTGCCAAAAGAGTCAAGTAAAGCAAATCCTTTTCAAAGAAGCCTTCACTTTTGATTCGCAAAAGCCTAGATTCCAGAAATCTGATCCCACTCCAAAACAGGTGATTTCCTTAATAAATTCTTATATAAAAATTGAAGAAAACAGGTCCACAAAGGGTACCCCCTTTGCAAGCCCCAGAATAGCAATAACAAACCTGCACCAGGCATGGCAATAGTGGAAACTTTTTTCCGCGACTCAAATTTTGTTGTCCTCCTTCTCCTTCTCCTTCTCCTTCTTCTCCTTCTTCTCCTCCTCCTCGTCCTCCTCCTTCGCCTCCACCACCTCTGCCCCCACTTCCATGTCCACTTCCGCCTTGCCAACTCTTCGCCAATCTCTTCGCCACTCGAGAATCTATCAGATACACATCATGATCCCAGCTATAGATTCCCAAAAATTATTATAGGAAGGTTGAACCCCCCTAAAAAAAATAAATGGGGGGGGTAATTACTATTAGGCAGCCAACATTATATGTGTTCAACCAGTTCAACCTTTCACTTTCATGTGAACTCTCAATTGCTCCGGACCACTTTTTCTTGAATGGGGAACCATGCGTAGATGGATAGAACCATAGCTGCCATAGCTCCTACTCCTTCAATTCACCGCCTTGTCCGTCCCGTCCCTGCGGACCTCTGAAAGGGACTGTACGGGACTATGTATCATTGGAGGTAGCCCCAGAAACCAAAGCACCAACCCTAAACAAGCAGTTATTTAATAAGGGGGAGTTTGTGTCAGATGTTTATGAAATTTGGATGTGAGTTTGGTATGTTTTTTCCCCAGGATGAATGCTCCTCCGAATGTTTTTCAAGGAGAATGATTCGCGGATTGGTAAAACGCTTCTCTCCTGGGATACCGGACAGCTTTCAATGCTTCAAGCTCATGTGTGTGCTTCTCAGAAGAATCACCCAGAGCCTCCATGAAGCTGTTTGAACCCCCCATCTCCATCAATTCACGCAGTGATACGTGTAATTGGAGGATGTGGTGTCAGCGAAGAAGTGCATACTGAAAACCATCGAGAAAACCAACCAATCAACCCCTGGCACCTTCTCCAAGTACTCGATGCGTTCCCCATGAGCTTCCTTCAGGCTTCAAGACCCTACCGCCCTCGGGTCACTATTGATGCAAAATTATGCAGACTGATGCAAATGCTTTGGAGTCAGCCTATGTTGACCGGAGCCTTGCTTTTTTGTTTGGTCTATATACTACACAGACATGTGGCTGATGGTTAACAGCAGAAAGAATTCCACCAATGATCATATCCTGAGATCTTACATTTTGAGCCAATTTGCGTATCCCAAAAAATGGTTTACTGTCTGACTGATAATCAAACTCCCATTGATAAATGATTGTCCCAATGAAATGCCAATTGGGGATTTCCCTAGCCATGTTTCATTACCGGAAGGTAAGCGGCCGCGCTCCTGGCCATTCGTGAATCCATCTCGGAGCTGCTGCAAGCCATCCTCAAGATTCACCTCGGCCACAGCTGGGTTGTTCATTGGATTAATTATGGTTAAGTTTGTTGGTGCAGTTTCTGCAGAAACCATGTTTTGTTCCCCCAAAAAGGGATTCCTGGAAACAGCGAGCACATGCTTTCCGGCAGGATTGTATAACATTGCAATGGCACAAACTCGAAATTGGCTCCCCTCAAAAGAACCCTCATTCATGGCGCTCCTTGTTAAACCCCTTGTTGAACCCTCCAATTTTGGGACCAAATTTTGACCCACAATCTGGGTGTCAAAAATTGGGGAAAATCTTGAAACGGCACCTGCAGCTGCCAAAGTTTCGCGTCGAGCATGGCCTCAGGTCGAGTTGAAGCTCGCTCCATTCGCTGCGGCTTTATCAAACTGGTACTTGGTGAAAAGCCTTTTGTAAGTAGGTCATAACCCCAGTCATAAGTGGGAGCGACTTACCTGCTTAGCAAGCAGGTTATATCCCCGCATAATTGGGCATAGAAAGGACTGTGACTCACCTACTAACCACTGGGTCTCATCTTCCTTGTGCCTAGACTCAATTCCAAAATTTGCACACCTACCTTGGAAGAAAGGTCAAAAGTTGACAGTGATTGCCTTGTGTCAAATATGAGCATGATGACCACAATTTGCGGCCATCAAATAATGCGGAAAATGTAATGGTAAATCGTGGGGTGATATGGGACTCAGTTGTGAGGCATACTTGGTGGCTCATTCTGCCTAGCACCTGCGTTATATATATATATACATACCTGTTTATAGAATGTTTGAAGTTGGGCAACCATTCACTGCTTTGCCTCCATGTTCTTCACCGTTTCGGCCAGCATCTCCTGCATGAAGGCCTGCGCATACTTCATGAATCATCTTCCAGTGCGATGTTTGGGGGTTGCCATGTATCGAAATTGGGAAAGGGACACAACTCTGGCGATTATTCACACCCCAAATCCGCCCACACATTCAGAACTCTCCTGCATATCACTGTTTTGACCCAGCGTCGCTTACGATACAGTAATGCCCAATAGGTTGTATAAACCCCTATGATCATCAGCAAACACGGGTTCTGAATACTGCGCGTATGTGAACCCCCCACCTGTGGCAAGATCTCGGGAGCGCGCTGCTCCCACGTGATCTGAGCAGCGATGACTTGGGGATGTGGAAAATTGTTTTGATACTCTGTTTGTGACTGGCGGTGACGTGTCTTTATAACATCTTGTTCCAGCCATGTTTTTTTTGCCTTGGTTTTAGGCAAGATCTAGCAGGTTGGGGACATCCCATGCCATCCATGGTATATGGGAACATGCCATATGTCTACATAAGGTGCATCCAGTTGAAGAGGGAATGACCAAGATAATTTTCCCGAGAAAGGGTATAATCCTCGGTCACTTGCAGGGAAGCCATCATAGCTGAACATCCCATCTATTTTCGGGCACAAATCAAGAAGACGAGAACATTCCAAACAGTGATGTTCATTCAGTCTCTTATCATCACTACATGCATTTCGAAGCCAGGATACCCTCCAACAATCAAACATGCCACTGGAAAATGCTCCGTTTAGAATACATATGCATCTGTATATATGTATTGTACATATATACATATACATATGTATACATATATATATATAAATATCATATGTATATACATATATGTATATGTATACATAATTTTACATATACATAATACATATCATATGAGTGTACTTATGTATGTATATAAAATATATATATATAATAGTGTTTATATACATATATACACGGTTGTTGCTCTAAATCCTTTCATCTGGAAAAGGTTTTCTTTGCAGAAGAAACTGCATTTTCTCATTGATCCTACCTCCCAATGTCCCGCCAAAATACCTCTGCACTGGATGGTGTCATTGTCGGAGAAGCACACCTGAGATGTGCTCCAGTATGGAATGTGTCAAGTGCGAGAAATGCTTGAGAAAGCTGATGTGCGCCGGCTCACAGAAGGCAAGCAGTTGCGAAATGCAAAAAATCTGCAAAGATAATTGTGGGTCTTCTTGCCAAATAAACTCGTTCCAAGCAACACATCGGCACAGTCCCCGCAGCCTTCAGCCTCAAGGCAGGCGACAAGGTGAAGGACCCACATCGACAATTTGTATCAGTGTGTATTGGAGAACTATCATTGATCCTGTTGGAATAACTTCACCACACTTCAAATGGTGCCACTGCACGTCCGATATGAGTGCCAGTCTCCGTCCATAATTTATAATACAACTTACATCCACTCATGTCAATTTGTCTGGAAAAATGGGAGACACCCATTTTTTTGGCAATCTGAGAGGGAAAAAATGGGCAAATGATGGTTCACCGGTGGATCTATATAATGTGTACCCTATTTTCGGACAAACGCATGTCCTTCTTTAGGTTCAATGGAAAAAATAAGTTGGTCCGACTGCAGGTAAGGCTAATCATTGCTCTTTGTCACACCAAAACCAGGAAATCCCAGGCACCTGCAGCTGGTTGTCAGTTGAAACTGCCTGTGCATCGGCAATGGATTCAATCCATCCAAAATCATTGCAGAAACCTGGCAGGCTTCTGTCCTACAAAGGCTAAACCAAAGAAACAAAGGTTTCTGCACAAAGAAACGGGTTTCTAGGACTTTTCGTGCAAGAGACCGTCCTACAACGTAGCAACAAGTGTATGTTTTAGTGCAAGACCATCTGACAAAGTAGCAACAAATGTGTGCCTTAGTGCAAGCGGCACTCTTGGAACGTAGCAACAAGTGTGTCATTAGTGCAGGAGACCATCTTACAAGCTAGCCAAAAGTGTATGTTTCAGTGCAAGAGACCATCCCACAACGTAGCAACAAGTGTATGCTTTAGTGCAAGACCATCTGACAAAGTAGCAACAAATGTGTGCCTTAGTGCAAGCGGCACTCTTGGAACGTAGCAACAAGTGTGTTCTTTAGTGCAGGAGACCATCTTACAAGCTAGCCAAAAGTGTATGTTTCAGTGCAAGAGACCATCCCACAACGTAGCAGCAAGTGTATGTTTTAGTTCAAGACAATCTGACAATGTAGCAACAAATGTGTGCCTTAGTGCAAGCGGCACTCGGAACGTAGCAACAAGTGTGTTCTTTAGTGCAGGAGACCATCTTAATGAACCTCCAGTAGAAGAAATTCGAGCCGTGACTTTAGCAATGCCAACCCTTCGCACAACAATTCAACACTCAGCCAGCCTCGCGGAGATTGTGATGTCCACCTCAGAAGCCATCAGGTGTCAGAAACATCTGGCTAAAACTGATGTTTTTTTTATTATCGGGGGCTCATGGGAATTGATCTGGGTACAATACATAATACAGTGATATACAATGGGTATTCAATGCTGGATTGTCCTGGGATTTTTCTTGCCAACGATATTTGGGTATGTCTAAAACTTGGCTATACTCCCAAAATTGCAATTCTACTAGGGCAAATTATGATAAATCGGGGTACCCAGGATGCCATATGTTCAGACAAACCTACATGGGACTCCAATTTGGCAATTCCATACGTTCCATGGTGCTGATATCTTTACCGATGTACAAGATTGGTTAATTGTTCTGAGGGGATAAATGTTGGAAAACCATACTGGAGGTACTGGTACTTTCCAGCAATCCAAGTGATTTGGCAATGAAGTTTGAAATATGCACCCCCATGTTTTTTTCACCGAGAATTCAAGCCATACTCATGGCCACATCCAGTAGAAAAATCTTCCAGACACCCTTTTTGGGGATGTATGTGAACTTAAGAAGGTGAATTATCATTCACAAATCAGAAATACACCCCGTCACAATGAACATTTCTGGTCTGGGAGGCAAACATTTTTTTGGGGGACAGCCCAGTTGTGCAATCTATTTCAGAAATTCACAGGCCATTCACACCACCCAAATTGACACATCATTCAGAGTTGTGGAATGAGTACCACATCTCCAGCGTTGATGCTTGGTACGAAACTCTTTGGGATCACTGGATCATATTGGATCATCACCAGCCAGGGAAAATGTGGTGAACCCAATTATAAGCAATCGCCAATAATATCATAAATGGGTGGTAAGGTATGATTCCGAAATGAAAGGATAAGGTCTTTGGGTTTACCACATTGTCCCCAATTGTCTTCACTGCTATCACATTATATAGACCCTCGATTCACATAAATACTCCCAGGATACCTTTTTATGTTCCAATAAATATGCCCACTAACTTTCATGACACAGTATTCCCATCAATTCCATATGTTCAAACAAAAAATATAGGACCGGATAACCCCACATGTTACCAACTTCTCTAGACTTAGACTGAGCATCGAAAAGCAAGAAGGGAAGAGGAAGTATAAGAGTGATGGAGGGGTGATGGTGGGTGAGTTTGTGTGTGTGTGAGTCTGAGTGAGTGAGTGAGTAAGTGAGTGTGTGTGTGTCTCACCTGTAAAGATGTAAAACTTCGATTTCATTTCTAGTTTGCAGGGGGCTGCAGGGAATGTCATAGTTCTGCAGCCAACGAAGACGGCTATGACATTCTGTGATATCGATCCGGGACGCTGGATCGACGTACCTGCTTCAATTTTCATGTCAAGTTTTCATGATGGGACGTGGCTAACCCGAGAACCACCAAGCCGTTACTCAAACAATTTATTTTACATCTGGAATTACCGTTGGTCATTTACGATTGATTCAGTGGCATCAGAACCTTCCTCAGTATTTTCGCCGAAAACCATGTCGCCGACAGTATTTTTGATTTTCTGGATTATTTCGCCGAGCATGTCGCCGATGTATTTGGATTATTTTGTCAAAACCACGTCGCCGATGTATTTTTGATGAAGATCGTGGGCATGGAAATCATTCAGGAGAACTTCTATTATTCGTAGGATGCATCGTTAATTTCTTTGTTTCGTATCTAATCTGCATGTTTCAGGATTCAGTTCCTGCCGGATCATATAATGATCCATTCTTGTCTAGTGTGATTCCTATGGTGACTCCGACAAGGTGCCATAGGGCCAATTGAGGCAACCCTGTTTAGGGTGAATGTCGACTGAATTGATTTCCGAATTTACACATTTTAATTTAGTAATTCGTTTAAGTAAAGTGCAACAGTGGGCCTTACTGTTATCCACCGTTTTTTGGAGATTCTCGCTGCTCCGGCTGTCCTTTGTGAACCCTGTGGAATGCATCTCTACTGTGTGAAGCTGTGCTGAACATTCTGAAACCTCTTTTCTCGCAGCAACTTTTGCAGTCACATTGCATCATTACATGACAAATGAACCAGGCAGGCACACGACTTCCAGGTGTGGTCTCCTTTCTTTTGGTTGTCTGGTGAGGTTTAACATATTGTGCACCTAATTCGCTGGACTTTGAAAGCTGTTTGATGCCAATTGGGGCAAGACTTGACCACGGTCCCGGTGCAGGGAATAATCGCACGACCTTTAGGCAATTAGGAACTGAATCCTGTTTGTGATTTTCCATTCCTGTTCTGTTCTACTCGAGCTATGTATCCGTGGACCAATCCTCCGACGTCATGGCCTACCCCGCCGCAGTCTACGACTCCTTCTTCGACGTGGTTGCCGCAATCAGCTCCTATCGCATCTACACCCAGACCGACTATGACATGGCCAACGACAGCACCACCTTCGACCTCAACTCCTCAACCTGGATACCCGATTGACCCACATCAGTTTTCGACAAATCCACCCCACATGCCCGGAACCACACCGACACCAGTCGAACATTTATTTGGACAACCTTCGCCATTACATCCTACATGGTCTTCTTCGACCTCATTCCTGCCGCCAGCTTCCACTACACCACCACTGTCATTCACTTTCCTTGCCACAGCCCCCCATGCAGTACCAGCTCCACACCTTGTACCTACTACAACTACACCTTTGGGTCCAGACACAACCATCGTGCACACCGCTCCACCAGCTTTTGCAACTCCAACGGCACCAACGTTTCCGACCACATGGCCTACTGCTCCAACTCCATCCCACGCACCGACTACACCACCTACACCTCTACAGGGCTCACCTTACCCACCTCGTGTCCTTCAATCTCCACCGTTGGCTACTACGACATCGACAGTTCCTCCAGCTGCACCTCAATACACGGGAGTCAAAGCAGCCCCAAAGATTCGATCTGAGAAGAAACCTGACAAACCACGCCGCTCAGCTCCAAAGGCTACATCGGCTTCCCTTCCCGCTACACTTCCGGAGCCAGCGACTACACCTCCACCGTCCATCCCACCAGAATTGGCAACGTTGGGTTCTACAGCACAACAACTCGCAGAATCTGTCTGTCTCATTCAAGCTCAACAGCAGATGATCCTTGACTCCCAACGCCTTCAGGAACAACGACAACAACTCCTTCACCAAGATTTACCACCAACCGGCCCTACTCTTCCGATGCCATCACCCACATCGACGCCACCTACACCAATGCCTCCACCTGCCCCGAAGGCCAGACCTACTGAACCTGCAGCTCCGGATCACAACACTGCCTCGATTCCACCAGCACCCATTCCACGTTCGTCGACATCACCACCGCGAAGACCTCGATCCAGGACCCGAAGATCACGCTCCCCTCGATCACCTACACATTCCCATCGCCGACCACCTCCTCCTCACCGTACGGAACGACCTCGTTCTCCTCTTCCTCGACATCGATCCTCAACCAAACATCCCAAAGATCGCCGAACACCTTCCCCTTACCGACGACGGTCACCGCCCAGACGACGCTCACCAACAAGTCATCGACGTCATCGTTCCAATCCTCCGCCACGCTCCAGAACTCCTCTTCGTTATTCTCGAGGCCGTGAAATTATATTACGACCAGCAGCACGTCCTTCGGATCCAAATTTCATTCCCACACCAGATGCTGATGACTCTTGGGGCAATTGGACCAACAGCCACTATCCAACAGACCACCATCGTGACACCACTCGACCCAGATCCCCTGTGGGACCACCACCTCCTGATCCACCATCAAACCCACCAGTCCACGCAACAGCACCACTTGGAGCCGTGGCTTTCCGTCTACCTGATGGTGACAGCGAAACCTCAGATGCAGCCGAAGCATTTTCAATTTCACACTTCGACAAAAAAGACATTGAAGTCAACGAACTTCTCTCGGCTGCTGATGACCCACAATGAGTACGATGCCTGACCGAACTGGACCCTGATCATACAGTATCACTTCGTACTGCACTTGACCAGCCCACCAAAATCCTCTTCAACATTTCGTTGATGAGATGTTCAATCAGTTGGCCCAGCCATACCGCACCATGAACAATGACCTCATATTCATCAAAGCCAGTCAGGCCACCGTCATGAACATTGCCAAAGCCTTCGCACAAGCAAGATTACTTGACTTAAATTTGGCAAGGAGGACACGGGCCTTCTATGTGGAGCCGGAGAACCTGCTGACCATCACGGTGCCAATGGGACTACCCAAAAAACCTATCTATCGTGGTGAACACGCGGGCACCTACCTGAGTTATCACAAAACGAGTTGGGAATCAGTTGCCAAAATTCTTGCTGAAGACTGCATTCGCCCGGCTACCTGGACAAGAAACGAAGCTGGCATCCCGACCCAATACCCGTGCTACGGATTCTTTGGCATGTCCTCGGAGATTGCGGACATCGATGACCTACCAGCATATTCAGTCAAGCTTTGCACCTCCCAGCTCTACCGAATTGGCAAAGGACAAAACCCATCAGGCCTACTGGCCATTTGTCGCTCCCCAAAATGCATGCGAGCCCAATCCGGAGGAAATGACCAAATTCAACGTTTGTGCAACCTACAAGGGACTGCCAAGGGCAAAGACGGTGCTACGGCAATGAACTCCAGTTGCGCATCAGTCTGCTACGTCGCTTCTACTCACTCGGTCTTCCCAGGGTTGATCACACGCACTCCACCAGCGGTACGCACATCCACTGTCACGGCACCGAGTGAACTTCCTGACAACCCACCAGCTGATCATGAACCACCTGCACCATCAAACCCTGCCACTGATTTACCTGCACCTCCCAACCCACCACCGACCACCCATACCAGATCGGCAACTACCCACCACGAGACCACAGATCACACAACTCCGGATCACAATCGCCGCTACTGGAGCAACAACTCAACATGGCACGACTCGACGCATGCTCATCGCGGCCATTATTCATCGTACCGTGAAGGTCGTTCTCGAGACCAACATCACGAAGGCTATTCTCGATCCCGCACT